ATATATTATATATATATATATATATATATATATATATATATATATATATATATATATATATAAATAGATTTTACTACAATGGCACTTCGACTTACGAACTTAATTCGTTCCAGTCCGAAGTTTGTACCTTGAAACCTAGTTTTCTATTATATTATAACTCGGGATTATGAAAGCATCACGGTCCGTTTCTCGAAATTAACACTAAAACTATCAGACGGGTTAAAATGACGCTTTCCTGATGTCTTCTTTTTATAATTATTAAAAAGATAGCAGATGTTTCTCCGAGAAATTATTAAAGAAATTGATTTAGCAATATGAAATCAATTAAATCAATTAAAGTTTCCATAGATGCACTCTCGGAGTTTCTATAGAAAAATTTAAAAAGTCATTTCAACTACTCGGTAGTTTTAGTGTTAAGTTTGTATCTCAAGATCAAAATAGAGCACGAAAAAAGTTCATATGTAGGGCGGTTCGTAAATTCAGATACCACTGCAATAGTTTCTTCGTGCGAAGCTTAAGACATTTTTTTGTAAGATTTTGGTTCACACGTGCAGTCAACGAACTCTTAAAGTCTGCTGGCCTTTCCGGAACATATAAATCTGTCAGCGATTTTTATGCTTATCTCGCGTAGAATGTTTCTTAAGTATATGATATAAAATAGATGCTTGCTCCCATTGATTGCTCGAAATTAAGACTCGTCTATAACTATTGTCATCGTTTACAGTTCAAATCTTCTAAAGAAGAGTATTGGTGACAACAGGTATTTGTATGTATATAGATTTGAAAATTGTAAAGCAATAATTTGATTATTTAAATAACAAAAGGTCATTACATAATTTATATACTATATGAATTTACAAATTACACATATATTATATACGCACTTGACCTTCGATTTACGTGAAAATCCGTTCCACGTGGGTTCGTTTTACGCGAACAAAAATCGCGTAAATAGAGCCTGTCGGTACAAGAGAAAACAAACTATTGAAGAGAAAAGCTGATATACGTTGTAGAAATACATATTTATTTCATATAGCTTAACAAAAGAAATAATAATAATGACATTTTAGAAAACAAAAGTATATTTTATTTGCTGTTACTAAATTCAGATCGCGCGTAAAAACTACCGCGTAAATAGTGTTCCAATTTACCGCGTAAATCGAGGGTCAGATGTATTTTTTTTCTTTATCACGATTTAAGTGTTCACTATATATTCGTTTTCTATACACAGAAAAGAAGTTTAATCTTCGTCGCAAACAATGTGAAAGAACAACGAAATTTAACGTAGCAACGATGAAGTTCCAAAAAGGAAAGCTATATATTATTTTAATTTCAAAGTATCATACAATAGGCAACTAAAAAAAAGACACCGAACAAAACTACTGTCCACATCTATGGTCAATTTTGTGACGCCAGAACGCAAAAAGTTTCTAAATTGTTCGTCAACTGCTTACATGACACGGACGTGCTACACGAATATTTATCGTATAATTATTCGTTAAAAATAAGAAGGTACCGTTTAATACGATGTATTCGATTTATGACAATGAATGATTATTTTTGTTCCTTATATCCCGAACGAGTAATTTCCGTGTCACGCGATTGATCGTCGATTAGGATAAAATTCACTGTGTACTTGAAGGTTTCATTCTTCTGACTCGCGCATCAATCAATTAAATTTCTTATCGGCGGTCACGCGAGGCGAAGCTGCGATGCATCGTTATCGCGTGGTTCCTGTGTTTTAATATTCTTACCCCTCATTAGTAAAACTTAATGACTTGGCTCGCGATACACTGCCCAAGTGTTTCTTGAAATTGCACGCATGCGCTCTTTTTCTCTTTCTTTTCTTTCTTTACTTTCTCTTTACTCTCTCTTTACGCTCTTTTCACTCTCTCTTCTCTCTCATTCCTCTCATCTCTCTCTTTTCCTCTTTTCCTCTTTTCCTCATCGTCGTTTCCTTCTATCCTCTCTCTCTCTTCTCTCTTTTCTCCCTTCCTCTTCTTTCCTCTCTCTTTAGAAATATAATTACTCTGGATAACAAGGGGCGCTTTCATAAAGTACGCGAAGCTCTCGTTTGCAGCGTCGCGTTACTATGTGCTTAGCGTGGCACCGGTCTCCGATTGCTCGCTCGTTCATCACACAATAAATCCTCTCTTTCGCCCCCCTCCCCAGTTTTGTTCCCCTTCTGCAAGTTTCGATTAATCCCCGAACCCTGCGACTGTCAATCCGCGACAAACATTTTTCTGGGTCACGTCATACTTTCTGCCACGTTTCGCGACCAAGTTTCCGTGGTGCCGCCTTCCCGATACCGATTCCGCCGGAGCCTGTCCCGCGTGTGAATCGTGTTACTCCTTTCCATCCATTGTGAATGGAAAGTAATAGACCGTCTGGAAAGTAACCGGGGATTCCGTTAGGATCGCATTCGCCAGCCGGATCCACGAAATCGGGAATGATGCAGTTAATTATTCGGTTGATCGGAAAGTTTTGTTGGCAAAATTCTTATGAACTTGTAGAATTTTTTCAAAGATTTCATTCTGTATCCGGGTACCATTTGTTTATACGTATTCCGGGAGGCAAGAAAGCGAGATGTTTGTTAAGTATGTTTATTCTTTTTATGAATATTTACTTTTTCAGTGGATTTACCGATAGAGTTTTCTAGTGAAGTAGAATGGATATCTAGAAAAAGAGTTTTTGTTAGAAATTTCTTAAAATTTGCTTTTCTTTGTGGAAAAAGGATAGACTATAATATAAAGATAAATATAACATAATATAAAGAAATTACGCACGGGAAAAAGGTGAATAATGAAAAATTTATGACAAATTTTAGTCGAAGAGTCAAAATCTAATAATTGTTCTATATTAGAATGGGCACTTTGACTGCCACGTCACTCGAATTCAAACATTTTTTATCAAAAAATCAAAACACCATTTTTTATATAAACTTAAACATTCGTTTTCTTGATAACGGATCGACCGAATCGAATTTTGTTCGATATATGAGATATAAGAAAGAGAGTAGAACAGTCGTTACGAAGAATTTTGACTTCTTAGTTTCTGATTTATTAAGAAAATATTTTCAACTGCATGCGTGTTTTGACGAGATTCTACTTGGGAGTCAAAGTGTTAATAAGGAGGAAACATGCCAGATATAATGAAGGAAATATGGTTGAGAAAGGCAGTTGATTCAATTTTCCTGGTGGAAATCCTGCTCGTTGCAGTTTTTAAGTGACTTCTGGAAAAATAATTATACTGCATTTCTCATTCATAATAGGGATTTTGTTAATTGTAAATAAGGGAATAAAGATATGCCCGATTCTGTTAGCATGCTCGTTAGAATTCTAGGCATGGTAAAACGTTTGCGGTCTGTTTGGTTCACGCAGTGAACTCGCATCAGATTCGACTTATTCCAGACTAATACTTCTTGCTTGTAGCCAAAAGAACTTTATGACTCGGAATAGTGCAAAAATAATGGTAGAAAACGCAATTGAAAAGTATTCTTGTACGTTTCGTAAGATGTTCCGTATGTTTATACAATGTGACCGTATTTAAATATTAATAAACGAATATTTTTCTTCAATTTGATTGAAGGGACAAACAAAACATTTAACATTAAAACTACCGGACGGATCAAATTGACCCATCTCAGAATTCTTATTTTGCAAGTATTTAAATTATCAAGGCGCTTTTGCGTGTGATTTTTCGTACAATTTTTGTATTTGCCCAGATATAAGACTAGGA